ACTTGTCAAAATTGATACATTAAAAAAATAGCGAGGAGAGTCACTTGTCAATTCCTGGAACACACATGCTTTAGATAACCAAATGGCATCGAAATCTCACCATTTAAATTAGGAAGAAGCATGTCGCTGATAGGAAGTGCTTTCAAAATGAGAAGTAGATGCTGCAATACATTCACTAATCCATAAAAGCTACTTCAATTTTGAGGTTCAAAACCAGCCTCAAAATTCAGAAATACTGAGTCGTTAATCCATAACTTTTTTTCTTCAAACTCAAACCCACCTTCAGACTATTTTTACGTTCACGCTCACCTTCTCGCTCACTTATATAACTGAACAATACTCTACTTCTGAAATAATCAGTCTAATTTATGCATAACCACCTCACATCTAACGGCTGTATTTTGGTTCTACGCATAAAACTTACTATTTTGTAATGAAAAGACGGTTTCAAATTCTAGAATATCTCATGTCACTTCTACTAGCAACATACTAAACTTCGAACATCGACTAGCATATAAGGCTTAACATCCAAGTCACTTGCATTCTGTTGACCAATTCGTGGGCATCGTTCACGATTATAGGAGAATTGAATGGTTTGATAGTATTGTTATTTCAGCACTGAGTGATACGGATTAGAATCCCCAGCGGAACATCAACTTCCTCAGGTTTGTAAATATGCCCTGCTGGTAAGCATCACGGAATACAGCCCAGTTTGGGCAAGAACCCTTGCCAATCGACTTCTAATTTATAAAATCGAAATTCCGAATTATTGTGGCAATAAAGAATTACCACTTAACATACCTAATACTTCTTACTTGTCACTGAACCAACTTGATGCTTGCTGTAGCTGCTTTAATAGAGCCAAGAACCTACCTCAATCTCTCCACACATCTTAAATTACCAGTATTATTATCATTATTAGTCACTTGGGTTCCTAATGGAACATAGGGCTTCAGTAGCACGTCTCTAGTGACCTCTGGTCTCTGAGATCTTTTAAACCTGGTTCCACGACAGCCCACAAGCTCTCATTTCCTCCTCGCACGATCTCCTCCATGTAACCCTCGGACGTCCAACTCGTTGCTTCCCGTGGGGATTCCACTCGAGGGCCTTAAATTACTAGTGAACAACCGAAAATAAGTGCTAATATCTATCGAAAATCCGGATCTCGTTCCACATGCTGAGTGCCGAAGATCTCCACACTGATTTCAGGCTAATGAACGCCTGTCTTGCTTTACCGATCTTGGCTGCTTTCACGTCCTCGTCTGTGCCGCCGCCTGAAGATGAAACACTGTTGTCTAGACAAATGAAAGAGGCTACTTCTTTTAGGTTTCTCCCGCTGATGGTGATTGCAGCTTCTTCACTTGAAGTCCCGTCTTAGCTGTTCTGCCCTGCCTCTTCTGTCAACTTGTTAGTTTTCGCCTGTAGATCTTCAAGTTTGTGTGACATTACAAACAAGTCATCGGTGAAATCTAAATCTTCCAGGTTATTTTCCGCAGTCCAGCGTATCCCCCTCTTCTCGTTCCCCTCTGCTGCATGATCCAGTCGACCACTATCAGGAATATCGCGGGTGATAACAGACAGCCTTGTTTCACTCCTGTCTTCACTTCAAAAGCATCACTGAGCTTTCCATTGTGAATTACTTGGCATGTAGCATCTTCATATAGTTGTTGAATGAGGCTGATAAAGGTTTGTGGTATTCTGTAGTGTTGAAGCAACTGCCAAATTACCTCTCGGTCGACGCTGTCAAAGGCCTTCTCACAGTCGATGAAGTTGAGGTAGAGTTGAGTTGATTGCCATTCCATACTCTGTTCTATGATGATGCGTAGTGTAGCGTTACAATTCGATCCGCAGATGATTTGTACTTCCTAAATCCAGCCAGTCAGCCAGCCTGTTCTGGTCGTAGTTTTGAAACCAGCGCAGCGTTCAGTCTCCCCGGTATGATGCTGCTTAATATTTTGCCTGCTCTGGGTGGACAGGAGAGTGATTCCGCGCCAGTTCTTGCAAACACTGAGGTCCCCCACTCTTCGACAGTTTGACAAGGTAACATTTCTTTCAATCAATCAGCAGGTACCTTCCCTTCCTTCCACACCTTCTGCAATAGTGGTGTGAGCATATCCGCTGTTGTCTCTGCGTCTATTCTCGGTGCTTCTGGTGGGATTCCATCTGGTCTTGTTGCTTTCCCGCATTTCAGTAGCTTTATGACGCTCAGGACTTCGACTTTTGTTGGAGGATTTGTGTTTGCTGGTAGTTCTGTGGCTGGGTTGCAGGTGGTATTTCCGGACGAAGTGCGGCTGGTGGTCGATTCAAGAGCTTTTTGAAGTGGTCGGCCCATCGTTTCCTTTGTTTCTCTTCTTTCGTAATTAAATTTCCTTCATCATCTTTCATTGGCTTCATGTGTATTGATCTCTTCCCAGATAGTAACCTGGTTATTTGAAACAATGTTGTCAGGTCTCTATCTCTCCTACCTGCAGCCTGTTCTGCTTCACTTGCCAGTATTCCGTAGAAGTGTCTTATATCTTTCCGCGCACTCTTCTTCACTTCTTTGTCCAGGGTAGTGTTTTATACGTTGTACTCAGTTCCTCTTCTCGCTGTTCATCCTTGCACTGGTTTATCTCCTGCTTCACCATCCTCCTCTCCCTGCTCTATCAGCTTCCATGTGTCCATCGAGATCCATTCCTTGCCTCGCCGCTTATTCTTCCTTCCTAATACGGCTATGCAGGTTTCTTTCCACATCTCTTTCAAAGACTTCCAGTGTTCTTCCACACAGGTTTCTTCAAGGATGTTCCCCAACATCTCCCATTTTGTCTTGATGGCTGGCTGCCGTGAGGATTTTCTGTGTAGTTTCGTCCTTCAGTTCAGTTTCTGTCCTGGGTGTTGTACTTGAACTGTGGTCTATCACCAGCTTCCTTGAAGGCTTTCAACTTGATATGGAAGGTTCCTTGTACTAGATAGTGAGCGGCGTGAACCTACATCCGCTCCTCTTCTTGACCTTGTGTCAAGTAGGCTGACTGCGTCTCCACTTTCTTCACATTGAGATGAAGTCGATCTGATTTTTAGTGTGTCCTGGTGTCTGGTGAAATCCATGAAATCTTGTGTTGTCCGCTCCCATTTTGGCATTCATGTCGCCCATTAGAATTTTGATGTAGCGAGCTGAGGTCTTGTCCAGTGTTGATTGCAGTGGTCTGTAGAATTCCTCCTTTTTCTCTTCAACTGCATTATTTGTAGGTGCGTAGCGTAGCATTGTATGATTGTGACCTTCCTTCCTTTTGAGTTGAACCTTGCTGTCATGATCCTGCAGAAGGAGATTGGTTCCCACTGCATGGGAGCGAGCCTTCGATGCCCTTGTAGACATCATGATAGCCACTCCATAACTCAGTGTGTTCGTGGTTGTCGTCTGGGTGACAATATCGGAGTAGATTATTGATTCTCTGGTTGACAGTTTGGAGAGTCCACTTCCATTCCATCTGCTTTCGCGAATTCCCAGCACTTCAATGCGATACCTTCTCATCTCCTTTGCAATCTGGGCAGCCTTGCCGGGTTCAAACATGGTGTGGACATTCCATGTCTCCACGTTTACTTTCGCTTTCATCGAGAGAAGCGAAGACACATCGGTCAATTGGCTTCCCGAAGGCTTTCACCAACTGGCGTCATTTCGCCTCTCCGATACCAGCAAGGACTAATTTTATTTTTATTTTTTGTATTTTGTTTGTGCTTTGAATTTCCTCTAGCGGTGGGACTTGTTTTACGAGGTAGAGTTGATAGCCCTACGCCCAACCTTCCCTCTTTACCCTGGCTTAGGACCTGCTAGTAACTAGTGAACCAGTAAATCCTTCATATCTTCTACTTTTGAGGGCCATTTATTTACAGGCCCACAATAGGACAGAGCGGAAGGCTGAGCAGTACACTCGTCTTTTGACATTCAGTTGGACATCTCACTGGAGCTAGAGAAGGCGATTACGAATAGGCCTTTCATTTCCAAGCTTAGGTGTCGTCACTAACCAATCTCAAAGTAAATGCAGTGGTTAGTGCACCACTCCACTCCCTATGCTTAAACTAGGATTCAGTACACACAAGTCATCAAACATGATCTTAAACTTAGCTAGCGCGAAAACACTAACTTTTGCTCAGTGTTCAGAAGACTCTGCACTTTGTCAGTATATACGGTTATATCGTTTGCATACTTTATATCAACCAGATACTCTTCGGATAGTAGGTCTGTCCCTGAGAACTTCCAGCTACGTCGGATCATATCAATCAATTCAACTATAACAAGGATGAATAAAAATTGTGATAGCGAACGCCACTGGATATCGCTATTTCCGACGACAAGCCTCTGTAAATCCTTACATGGCTGGGTAGCACAAATTAGTTGTTCAGTACTTTTTTCAGTCAAACACTGCCACAACACCTCTCAGTCGGCAGAACTGAGTGCCACCTATGGGTCAAGAAATATGACACGTGTCGTGACCTAATATGCATGTTTGTATTCTAAAACCTGTCAAGCGATGAAGAAGGGATCGATGCACTCTCAATCATGTTTGACGTACATCTTGCTTTTTCCTAGGCCAATTAGGCGTTGGATAACTATGGACCCTAGGATCTTAGGCGCTATATTAGTTAAACTGCATCCCCTGGAGTTATCGAAGTAAGACCTCTCTCCTTTCATATAAGCTGGAATAATTATTGATCTGACGGGACTATTTCTGATTCCCGTACATCAGTTAGTACCCTTACTACTATATTCAATAGTTTACTACTTCCACGAGTACAATGGTACAGGTATAAACACTTTGTCATCTTCGAAGTCTTGAACAGTTTTGTTAACTTTCATTTAGTTCTTCTCCCCCCCCCCACCCCCCACACACTTTTGCCTACTCTGATGCATTTTTCCTAACATGGTAGTATGTTGTTGGCTTGTTTATTAGGTCACTGCGATTGGGACGACTTAAAATAAACGAAAGGAGATAAACCAACTTTTTAAGGTAAGTTATAACGCTAAATAAATATATCTGAGTATTATTTGAAAGTACTGTACAGTGTCAACGAACAACAAACTTGTGTGGTTAAAAACATCTGAAAAATTATTCTACTGCTCTTGCCGTGCTTCCGATAATTTGCAAACGTCATCCAAAGAAACGTTCTTGACAAGACGACCCATACACAGTCCCTGAAAGAGTAAACCATAAAATACAGTGAATAAAAACTGTAAATTACAAATGGAGATCCCATATCGAAGTCGACAGGATAAAATGGGGCACAAAGAACAGGACAGTGTTACAGGAATAATTACGCATAGTAATTTTTATGTTTACCGGTAGTTGGCTTATAGTGAATTTACAAGTGAAACAGTCAATTTTAGAAAGCTGTCTCTTTTCGTAAACGTGTAAGAGAGTTTATTACCGCAGTTTTGTTGAAAAGATCCATAACTGTGGCTACACTCAACCCGTATAACCAGTGGCGAGAAACAACTTAAACATATCCACCTGTAGTTTTTTGAGTACAGACGTACTGATACACGGAATTACCATTCGTGTAACTTCCTCTATTTCGATACCGTCACAAATGACACTTTAATAATAAATCGCTTATATAACGGTTTAGTGAGTCAACTCAGTCTACACTTTTGAGGGTTAAAGAAGCTGAAATGAAGATATCACAGTTTCATGCTTGATACTTTCACCTATTATGAGATTTCTCATGTCCATACATTTTCTATTCAAATTCCATTAACTGGATACCCTTTCACTGTCCAGTTAATTAGCAGCTCTTCGTTGTTTACAAAATAAATAAAAAACCGGCAAATACATACTAACATTTGTCTGGCAACGTAAGCATAATGATGGTAATGTGGTCGTAAAGCGACTAGATGGTTTTGAGCTCAATTTCGAATCAGACTAAGAAACTTACAGATAGGGGGTGGGGCGGGGTCAAAACTCGTGCATCCTGGCTTTAAATGATTCTATGAGTGGTGTTGGTCTATGATGAATATTCTCAAGTCAATCAACACCTCGCAAACTTCTCTGAAGAGAATTCAATAAGTATTCAACTGTAACCTGTCTAGGCAGATAAAATAATTAAATTAATCAGTGCAATTCGAACTGATACACATGTATATGTATTAGACTATGAGCTACACTTACTGTGTCAGAGCTTATTATACTACCAGGTTGTCGAACTGCCCATACGGTGCAAGGCTAGTTCTTCGTAAGATACTTCAAAAAAAAGGAATAGTGTGTGACCGCAGAGCCAGGGGACATCTGCTCGAGGCCAGTCACACACGGTCTTTCAGCAAGTTCAAGGTTTCGGTTTTCGCTATTGAATCCGACTACGAATCCGTCACAGGCATTTGAATGCCACGGGGAGTGCTATTGTGCTATTTTCGGGGTCGACTTTTTCAAACCCCTCAGCGTGGCACTGTCACCCAAGAGAAATACCTTACTGCTATCACACTCCCGTCCAGTCAGCAGTACTTAGCCTTAAGACTCCCATCACAGCGTAGCAATTTACACTATAATGGTAACTGCTTTTTGCAATAACCTTTATCATGAGACCACTTATTTTCTTACACTACTTAATCTTCTTTGATATCACTTTTTCTATCCACCTGTTCTTTGTATACTACTGGGAAATGTGGCAACTTGAGCGGATGCACCTGTGTGCGATGTTCTACGGTGATTTTGTCAGTCAGTCGCGAGACAAAAACTTAACAGGCTGACTTTAGGTGATCATCATATAGAAATTTGGTGTTACACATTTTCAGTCTTTATTGCAGTTGACGGTAGTAATGATAGTCAAAGTTGGCCACCAAGTGTCCTGCTTACGTAAAGTGGTACAATTTTCATTTCACTACTAAAAACCCCATGTATAACAAAAACATTATCTGATGTTTTAGAGCACTGTTTTACATCGATTAGGTCTTGAATACTTCCGCAGCGCGAACTGTCTAGCGTATATTATAACACACTCTGAAGAGGACTATGAGCACTGTCTATTTAAATACCCTTATCAGAAGTGGCAATGACAAGAGTAGGGCATTAGATCATGAAAGTATTGATGGTGGCATGTTTAGTTACTTATAGCAAGGGAAAAATCCACTAAAAGACATTGACTTGTGAGGTCGTTAACATTGACTGGCTTTTTCATTTTCAAAATTCTTATCGGACCTAGTTGATTGAAAAAACCTGCATGTATTACCTCAACATGAAGGACTAACTGACATCGATTAACATACATTTTGACCTTACAAATCAACATGCGTCAGAATCTATTTACATCGAGAGTAACATAATAAACAATTGTAAAACACATGATCAAATAACAGCTGTGTTCAAACATTACGTACTAAACAGTTCATAGGATGGTTATTCACTTACGTACGTCAATAAAAAACAAGTGTCCATCCAAAATCATCATAAGACAAATGCGACTGGGTAAACCGATGCACCTCTGTATCATGTCTTACGTTGACCTGCCTGTCTCTTTAGGTGAGTGAAATCGACAGGTACTTAAAATGCCAGTAAAATAAGCCAAAACACTACAGAAAAATATGCATTAAAAGAATTAAAATAAATCTTACAGTCATAATGGTTATTTCACAGATGTTCTTCTCTTTATCAACTTGCTCTAGTGTTGCATACTCGCCTCTGTATGCACCATTAACAACTAGGACAGTCGATGACAGTTCTGGAGTAACTGTTTGTACGTGATTTTGATCAACTTTGATCTTTGTGTGGCATTCTAGTGTCCTCACAATAGCCTGTAGCACAATGGAATAAACAAGAAAAACTAGCATTCAAAATACTTCTTCACTTTTTATACTCCAAACGAACTGAATGACTAGAAAGTTGCTAGATATTTTGATGCTATGCGCTATCACTGCAGAAGGGAATTCTGCAACATTAGCAAGAACCAGTAGACAGGGCAATAACTTTATGATTATTTTTCCTTACTTCATAACATCACACTTCTTATGTTGTTTATTGCAGCAAACAACTTAGTTCCCTCAAGTATCGAGTTTGTCTCAAATAAAATAAATTAAATAAGACGAGATATTTCTCAATTTAAATCCTTAAAATCAAAATGTCGCGAGGAAATAGCTATGTTAAAAATGACATTGCAAGAAAACTTAATAAGCCTCCAATGCCTTTAAAAGCACAGATGAAAGGGAATGGCAAAAACTGGACATACCTTTGAGAAACATGTGTCAGTTTAAATAAAAATAAAGCTTTGCTCATGTTTTACTCATTTACATAACTATTTGTTCAAACAAGTGTTGATAAATTGGAAGAACCTATTTTTGAGTAGTGCATGTGTATAAAAAGATAGTGCCACTAAACTACTTCGTATCTATTTGTTAGCAGTGCTCAGAGCATCAACATCCATGATAGAAACATAACTATACGAAGGGTACAAAGAAGGATAGGGCTTGAAAATACATTAGAAAATGAGAAAAAGGAGGTAAAGAAAATATGATTATTGGGGGTAATGTGGTGGATGAAATTGAACATACGGGGGTCACTATCAACCCCAGAACAACCATATTTTCCTCTTTAAGCATAATGTTGTATTTCAGAAGTTAAAACTGCTGGGTACATTTTGTCTTCCTTCACTGTAATTTCTCACCTGGTTGTTGCATTAGAGGTGCTATTTTTATGTCCGAGAAACAATTCTCAGTCATGTGCTTTAACTATAGCAAAACCGAGACTGCTTAATCAGTAGTAATTATAGTGATTAGTATCTCTAAAAGCGTTCAGAACAAAATCAGTTTCTCAATAACCCCTCACATAAACTGCCAAATGAAGTAGAACTTCGCGAAAAGGCACATAAGTTTAGGCTGTTACATTTCTCAACAAGGCAAAAAGCATAAGGCAGAGTATCAAAATGTGTAAGTTGTGAATGGTTAAAAAGCTACTGCTAAGTGTTCATTTATTAAATAGGTTGGAATACCTAGAGATACAAGGAAGACGGATAAGCGAGCTTAAATATATAAGTGAAGTTTGTGCGCTTTGGAGTGGATTAATGTACTGCAAGTAAGTTTCTGTTTATCACAATTTGATGATTAACTAAGTAATTTACTGCTATATGATGCCTCATTAAAGAGGATATTTATCTTGAAAAACAGAGCATTTCGTTTTTTTAAAGTTTATAAAGCAGTAAGTGGGGAGATAAGTATAAGAGTGTAGTTGGAGCTCCTACGAATAAACCTGATGCAACGTAGTTATAAAACGAGTCATAGCAGATATTAGTCAGTCTGCATCAATATGAACCTGGTATTATCATGCAACAATTCAAGTTACTACCTTCATATCAGCATATCACGATACAAGGCATAAACACGAAAATTTAAGAAATGAAAATAATCCAACCATCCGTCCAAATCAACATAGGACCAGGCATAAATGCGTAACGGTCCAAGTTGCCACACCTTATCAACACATCAAGTAAAAAAGTAGTGAAGTGGAAGATGAAAAGAAAATTCAGTCAAAAGAAATATAAAGTACTAAAAGAGAGAAAGGAAGAATGAGAAAATGATGAGATTCGCTATAGCGTCGTTAAGATGAGCATAATGTGTGTATACAACTGCGCCACTGACGTCGGTTCTGAGCCATATCATGTAGTCTCCAATCACTGGTTTCCCTTTTCCCACGGACCCCAACCACCTAGTCTGCATCGCCCCACATGGCTCAAACCAACAGTCAAAAACTTCATACATTGATACCATGTTTTAGTGTGCCCGCCGCTAGCCTTTTTCGAGCCTGAACGTACTTCGACCAACATTGTATGACTAGGCAGACAGCGACTAAAGATACGTAACACATATCCGAGCCAGTCATCTCAGTCAATGAAGGTTCACAACCTCGTCAACTGACTTGTTTCTTCTCCCTAAAACTCTACGCCTGACACCTACGTTACTCATGTGGTGACACAACGAATACGGTCCAAACTGTAAATGGTCAAACACCTGAAGCTTTCTCATGTCTCCCAACTTTGATGGCCATGTTTCACAGCCATATAGTAGAACACAGCGGACTGCCGTGCAGTACATGCGACCCCTAATAGACAGTCGGATTTCACGGCGACACCACAGGTGACGTAAGTTGGCAAAAGTCAACCGAGCCTTTTGTATACTTGCAGAGATTTCATCGACCACTGAGCCACAAGGGCTGATCCTGTGGTCGAGATACTCAGTTACTACACTCTCTATTGTTAGCCGAGGCATCGTTAACGACCAATCCTGGAGCAACAATTTGCATTTGGGTGGTGAGAAACGCATCTCAAACATTCTCAAATTGCCACTCAGTGTCCAGAAGACTCTGCATTTTGCCAGTTTGCACCTGACAGGACTATGTCATCTGTGTATTCTAGGTCTAACAGAGATCCTCCTGCGATTAGGTCGACCTCTGTGTAGTCAGGTGACGAGAGGGAGACTTCCATAATATCTATGACAAAACTCAATAAGAATGGAGAGTGGGCAGCCTTGACGGACACCGCTCAACGAGCACTGTAGGTTATGACATGCCCATAAGTGTTTGAGTAGACAGCTTTCAATAAGGTGATGTACTTACTAGGCACGCCTTTCAGTGACAGACATTGCTCTTCCTGAGCTCCACTCAGGTGTCGAAGAATTACAGAACCTAGAATCTTAGACACTATGCTCGTCAGGCTGACTCCTCACAAGAGGACTTCTCGCCTTTCTTGAAGACTGGAATAATCAGTGACTTTGACCAGTCAGAGGGGATCGTATTTGACTCCCATATACTAGCTAACACTTCCGTTAACCTGACTAGGAGCACTGCACCACCATCCTTGTATACCTCAGGAGTTAGTCCGTCTGGTCCTGCTGCCCTACCTTCTTTCAGGTTACCTACTACTTTCTCGACTTCTTCTAGTGTTGGGGGACCTATCTATATATCCCATTCAGGATCAAACTGGATAGCGGGCAACGCAATCGTGGCTGGAGGTCAGTTTAACTGTTCCTCCAAGTGTTCTCTCCATTGTTCCAGTCGTCTCCCCTGACAGTGAATCGCAGATCCGTCCTTCTCCGATATAGCCTCACTAACTGTTGTTGACCTTTTCCTCCCAGTCTCCTTAATAAGTCTAAATAACTGTCTACTATTACCGATCGCCGCTTCCTTTTCCATCTCTTTAGCCTTCACTGCCCACCACTGTTCGTGGCTGTTGAGTAGACTTTTCTCAATCTACTTTTAAGTTGCGCACGCACTTTATTGTGCTCAGACCCTGCAGGCAGTGATGCGTTCACGTGCATCCATCAGTTCGGAAGAAGCTGCTGATATCCGCTGACTCTTTTTAGCCACTCTTTCGGGGGTCGGTTACAGTCTTTAGCGCTGTTTTTACAGCAGACTGGAGATGGCACCAACCTTCTTCTGGATGGGTGATAACCGAAAATAATGAGTGAAACACAGAAAGCGAGGCGCGAGAAAAGGCGTTAGAAGCAGCAAAGACATTTGATGAAAACAAGGCATCAACACATTTACACCATGATTAGTTGAGACATCTATCATAGACTTGAAAGATCGGTTTTGACGGCCTAGCAAAACGCTGTATTGGAGCTAACGTTAGAAATTAACTAAAAAAAATGGAACAGAATGATCAGAGAAGCAGTCTCGTCAAATGTGGGAGAAACATTTACTGCTTTTCAATAACGGAAGGCAGGAAGGTTATTTCACGATCGTAAATTGTTTCGATTCATAATTGTCTGATGTCTTAAGACATATAGTATTATGAGAATTTCGTTAATCTCAAAGCGATAGAATTTAGAGCAATACGACTATATTTCACTCTAAATCAGTGAACTGACAGTGACCATCTCTCTGATCCCGCCAACCAATACTTGGGACAGAGCATAGTAAAAGGTGTGAACACCACCAGAACAGCATATTTAACGTATCCAAGCCACGGAAGCTGAAGTTTCAGAATAACTTAGTTCAACGAGTAACGATCTCCACCACCTGGAAACGCAGTGCGAAAACTCAGAATCACCTACATGATGTTAGCGTCAGCCGCAAGTAGCCCTATATAGGTAACGGTGACCAAATATTCAAAGTCGTCTGACGATATCTTCAACTCGGAGAGGTTAGGTCTTACAGGTGTGTATGAGGACCACTTACACCAACTTGCTGTACACCTGACCTTCTAGAGCCAGATTAACGTCACCACGATGTCAAGGGTTATTCAGACTGATGGCCTAGCTTTCCTTACGTGACTGAAAATATCACTGGTCACACCACCAGCACTCACATGACTACCGAAACACATGTACTTCCGACTAGTTGTAACGATTAATCACTAAGGATTAACGCAGACAGACTCTTGCCAATCTTCCAAAAGCACTGTGTGCTTGGACAGTGCGAAGCACAAACCACACAGACACTGACTGCCAATTACTTAGGTGCGACTTAAACAGCTCATGCATCACATACTAAAATTTCTTGAACATACTGAATGTGGAACGGTCTATCTTCTGGTAGGAGCTCTACATAAGGAATATATTTAAAACTAAGGAATATAATCAAAGGTGAAATCGAGAGTGGACAACTCATTAGTGTGACTGTCAATTCGGAATCGTGCAAATAACCAGATGCTCTTCTTCACCTTAACTGATATGAAACAGATCACCACATGACCTGGCACAAGTGTGTGCTTTCAGGCTACCACAAACAGCAGTATGCAAGTTAGAAACAGACAAGAATGAAATTGAAGTAAACAAAAGTATGCCAGAGGGATGAACGTACAAGTGGTTATTGAAAATGCTCGAAACTTCGATGAGAAGGAGCGTGTACGCCTTGACCACTGTGAAGGATCTCGAGTTATACGTACAAACTCTTTTTTATCATATAAACTGGCTGTAGAGCTTTAAGTTACTGGACGTAATCATGGACCTGCAACTATATAAGTGTTGCAATGCATCAGTTTATCACATTGTGACGATATTTGTTACTGAAATGCTGTTAAGTATACAGCTTAGACACCTCTTTGAATATGTAAACAAGACCAATCTGAGATCTGACTTGATTGTTTATAACGTTATAAGCCATCGTTGCAGGTTCACGATTACGTCCACTAATTTAAAACTACAGTCAACATGGGATTCGGGGATTACTAGCATAACGGTTGAAATTGTCATACCTCAAAAGTGTACATCAAAGACAAACAGACACAAGACCAACATAGGACCACGCAATACTCCGTAACGACCACACATAACAGCACATCAAGCGGGAATGTAGTAAGATGAAAGATAAAGAAAGCAGCCAAAAGCGGTAGAAAATCATGACATGATAACAGGGAAGAGTAAGGAAACAGCGAATTCAGCAAGATGAGGATAATGTGTCTGGTTGCAACTGAGACATTGAGACTGATTAAAAGCAGCACCACCTAGTCACCAACCACTGATTTCTGTTGTCACGTGGACCTTAATCGGGAAGTCTGGAATTGTCTACACAGCTCAAACCAACAGTAAGAGATCTCATGAGGTGACACCATGCTTTGGTTTAGTCATCTCCAACCTATTCTCGTCTAAACATTGTGCAATGGGGCAGACGGTGAATATGGATGAAGGTTCACAACTGCATCAACTGACTTTCCTCCCTACATCTGACTTCTACATTACTGACGCGGTGACACCATAACAAAAGGATTACGAAGGTAAATGTGATCAAACACCACAAGCCTTCTCTGTCTTACCTTGAGTTACGATGTTTCACATCCATATATGAGGACAGAGCGAACTACAGCACGGTATGCTGAACCCTCAATAGGCAACCGAATGTATTGGCTGGGCCACAGATGGCATAGGTTGGTAGTTAGTAAAACCTTTGTATAAGTGCAGAGACGTTGTTGGCCACTGACTCACTAAGGCTGGTCCGACTTCCTAGAGAGGTGAAGTGCTCAATGCACTCACCTACTTCATTCACTCTGTCCGGGTCCCCGTGAAAACCAGTCTTAGAGGAACGGGTCTTGAAAATGTCCGGAGTAAGTTATGACTGCAGATTTATTTGGGCTGGTCCTCAGTTCCCTATCTAAGCGAATTCACTGCATATTAGTTAAAATCAAAGACGACTGGTAAGTCAGTAGGAAAGTCATACTGGTTATCCATGACTTCTGATGATTGGGGATAAGTCTGCATAGATATAAGCTAAATACTTAAACTAAACACTTTATGCGATCCAGTCCGTAGGGTTTCTGGGACAAACAAGGTACGACATATTCCCATAGATATGAGCAGTTCAGAATGACACACTAGACCATGTTGATAACAAGGAATAAGAAAATTAGTAACGAAAAACTCGTCTACATCTTTTATGGCCAAAGTGGTTTAAAGTTTAGTAAATTCATGTGGTTATATTATACTAACCGTATAATTATCCAGCATTTTCATAACTGTAGCGTGCCTCCAACGAAGGTCATCAGGTAGTTTGCGGTTGATCAACTTAACCTCGATTCCTTCTGTCATCCAGTAGTCCCTCCGATTCCTCTTATCTTTAAAAGCCTCTTCTTTCTCCATCAGCTCATCTAAAGCACGTCGACGAACTCCAGAAACGGTTGTAGTACGTGCATCCTGCTTTTTGTCAGTGGAAGATTTAGATTTCTCTTCGCGTGCCTTTTTCTCGGCAAGCAAAAGAGGATTCTAAAAGTCAAAGTGGTAAAATATTAAACTGGTAAAACTGCAACAACACCACGATCAGGAGTATAGAAATTTAGTTCTGAAAAACGAAGTAATTATCAGCAAAAAATAGGATACTTGCTTAAACTCAGGTCCAACAAAAACCTGTTGGGAGTAAAAATAGTGACTATAGCTTCACTTAACTGAAGTAATAATAACAAGCATTAAAGATAATATGACTGCTTACAACAGGCTTTTCTTTCTTTGGGCCTAACGTCATAAGACTTTGAGTAGGCTTATCTTCTGAGGACCCCGGAGTCAAATCACCATCAGCATTCGCTTGGACAGGCAGCTTTTTCTGAGACAGAGTTATCCCCAATCGAATCGGTTCATCCTCATTCATGCGAATTAGAGGTGTGTAGAGGGGACCCTCTATTTGTTCAACTTTGCTGTTCAGATTTTGTTCTATTTGGCGTTCTGTTGATCGAAAAGCTAAGAAATAGGTACTTACCTAAGAATTTTCTGTTTATCTCATCTTCTGTTTTTTCTAACCGCTCGCTTGTCTCTTGTTTTTTCATTTTTTCTGGATCGCGATCGATATATTCTATGAACCACCCTTTTTCTGTTTCATCCACCTTGCAGATGCCTTGTTTTCCAAGCCACATGCATAGCCCCGTAAGCGTGTGCCACCTTGTAGCATTCATGTGTACGTGCTCTTTTTCTTTGATGTATTCTTGATAAACAACATTCGAATGCACGCGTTTCCCGCCGAATTGACGACGCAGTATATCAAGATAACCCTTCAAGAATTCAGAAGAGAAGCTACTGATGAATTTTCCACCGTCCTCAGCAAAAAGTTTCATCTGTCTGTGATGCGACTCAGACATTGTGTGGCACTTATATCCATTCTGGAGAAAAAGTTGGTTAGGAGCGACAAACACCTACCTCATCTCTGCACTGTTTCTGACACATCTGACAATACCATCGTAGCTTTTGCAACCCTTTGGCTTTGATTCTATTAGATATTGCTTTGGGAGTTAGGAAGCCTCCTTTTTCTTTAGTCATCCTTTTTGGGCACCGCAAGTATAACTCAAACAAAACTTGGTTGGCGACTGAAGGTCAGAAATCACAATATCTTCAGTGGTTTCAATACTTACTGGGAAGAAAGTAAAGCTTTTCAATGATTTAGGGGACTTTTGTGCGTTTGAAGCCAAGATTACTTTATGTCCTTTGTCTTCTCTTCATACAACATTTGCCGTCAGAAGCAGTTTTAAGACTGACTTAAATGAATTAGGGTTTTTCAATTAGAATAAAAAGAAGCGTCACACTACTGAATCTTCAGATATCTGATCACCTAAGACAAGCACTTTTGGGACTTACTCAAATAACCTCGTGGTATAAGATTCGGATTTGTATTTTGAGGATCGAAGGCTTTGAGCCTAGGACAATCCTTTCTCAATATATATTTTTGCTAGTCCAGTCTTTTTTGGAGAGAGTTAAGTGGTGACATGGACACTGCTTCATCTGGTGTTAGGTTCCAAGATTTGTCTCAAAGAAGTGAAAACCGGTACAGAACGAGGACTACGTTCGTTCTTTGCTTTTGCATTCTACTTTTATGTCCTCTAAGACGTTTCGAGCTTATGGAAAGGAAAATAGGGGTAGATCAGGTTCAAAGTCACTTCTTAAAATCTTGTACGGCATGAGAGGCTCCTCTTTCTCCTGCCATCAAATGAAGAAGAGAGGTTCAGTTCCTTAAGTTTCTCTTTGTAGGTCAGTTAGCCAATGCAGTGATTGTATGAGTGGGCGTCCTCTGAACTGTTTTCAGAAGGTCCGAGTCACTTTCCGAACAAGGATTTGCCGTCTAAAAAGACATTTTTCTAGTTCAGACCTAATTAGGAATGTACATTATGCGTTTATTGTCATAAACGTTCTGCGTAATGCCCAGTGTCCCATGCTCCAGGCTGCAACCAACTGGAAGTTCATCGTGGCCTTCAACTCATAGCTTATTGTGACTTCTAGATAAGGCGAGGGTAAGGGAGTCCCACTAACATTTGGGATGTCACTATCCGCATGCCATGCGCGCATGTTCATACACTCGGCTACATGGACAAGCACCAGTAATGTCAACAGGCTGTTTAGGAATTTCTTAAGTGCACATGCATCCTTGTCGTCCCTAATTTCCCACCAGATATTTACAGAGGACTATAGGGAATTTAGTGATATTTGGCACTTCATTAATGTATGGGAGATATGCACGGGTTCCAGAGCTAGGCCTTATGGCACTCCACCATTTGCTGATTTATGAGAGGATAGGTGGGAATTGATCCTTAGTCTTTGTTTCCTACTAATAAGGAACTCTCCAGCTCACTCGGACAGATTGCCAGTGATTCCAAAACGTTACGGCTTCTTGAGTCACCTAGAATACAGCTTGTTGAGCGTTTTACAAAGTATGTGAAAAGTACATCTGCAGGTGTCCTATAATCCTCAGACTTAACCCAGCGTCCTCTGGCACAGACACAACAGTAGCAACGTTTTATTTCCAATAACGGATTATACGAACACATACCGTTTTTACAGGCGATATCCAAAGGTTATTGTTCGCAGTGAAGCTGGTAAGATGTAGAAAGAATAAATCATTACGCTATATGTAGTCTGCCAAAAAATAATAGTCACGCAGCGGTCTCACTGTGAACTTGTCTATCAAATAGAAAAAGAAACGCGAATAAGGAACAATTTAAGGCATACTCAATTCAGTGAGTAATGAAATATGAGCAGAATAAGCAAAGAAATCGAACTTAGATGCATATGTTGGAGTCTTTACGCAAAAATGATCTATCTTATCCATAATAAACTATGGCAAAATGGTAGTCGTTGGGTTTTAGCTGTACAGTCATGATTTGGAGGAGAGGGATATGGTCCGGAGCAATGTGGAGCGGTGATATTTGAGTGATGGACGGTGTTAGTTAAAAGATGGTAATCGAATACTATCAGTAGCCTTGCCCCAGACGGATGCAGTTAAGTCCCAGGAGGCTATCTTTTGTGCTTTGGGCGTACGACAAACACAAAGTATAGTGGTAAAAATACTTACCTGAACAGTGTAGCTTATCATCGACATGTCCAAGCAAGAATCCAAGAGGCGAGGAATAACCGAATGGCAGGCATATACTCGTGAATACGAAGAAAACTTTGGCATGCAGATGCGAGATAATGGAGGTCTTAGTTCGTGAAAATAAGACAATGTGACGCGGAAACGTTGGAGATGAATGCCAAGGGCAGACTTTTTGCAGCGATATAACTAGGTGTATTTCAGTTCCATTTAAGGTTAAGTGAGTAGGCTGTTCCCCAAATATAAGCTTTTCTGCCACGATAATAGAGGCCATCCAGCGGGGGTAGACTACCGGATACACAGGATTCTCAGTCTCTTAGAACGAGAACTATTTAGTTCATGGATTAATACTTAGAAACAGATCCCACCCATATTTATCCTAAACTTGCTACCAGTTTCACTACCTTTGGGGCATGGGGTCCTACAGAGCCATATCTAAGTGCTTCTGTTGCAAGACATTTATCCACAAACAGACTATGGATATCACTTGAATTCAAAAGCAAGTTGACAAGGTGCTTAAGCTGCGACACGGAGGTACTTCTATGTGAGGTTACGGGAAGCCTGCTCCAGATCAAGCCGTAACATATAGTGAAGAATTTACATCTTGCCTGTTTATTGCGTCTGTCTACCGCCAGAGTGGATGTATGGTTTCTAAGGTCGTAAGGTGGTGCTCTTCAGAAGGAAACCTGATAGTCTAGCTTTAGAGACGACGGCTTAGATAAACTTAGTGAAGCTAAGACTAACAGAATATCAGATGCCTAGATCGCATACCTCATTGGGTATCTGAATTTCATGATCTCCTAAGCGTGGCGTAATGCAAGCATAATATTTTCCGGGGTATAGAATTCCACATTTTCAAGTTGCCATTTCTGACCCCACTCAATTAGATTGTTTAAATCTGCCTACGGCGCCGATAGATCTTCAGTAGTTGCACTATGCTGGAGGCCGGGAACAATCTTCAGGTCGTCCGCATAGGGATATGGTTTTCCATGTCCAATCACTTTACAAGTCATCGACATACGTAGGAAAGAGAAGTGGAGCAAGAACACCCCTTGTACCACACCACTTGTAATTGGCCGAGGGTTTGAAAGGCAATCGTTTAATTTAGCTATCTGAGAACGTCCATGAAGAAATGATTCGGACCATTTATACATGAATTCAGTGTGCTCATTTAAGCTGGACTGACACAGTGCTGTTAGTCTGTGTTAGTGTTATAATATGCAGGCCACTCCTAAATGTTACGGAAAAGGCCTTATTATACCGGGTCCCTAAGGTCAAGGGTTCCTGCCAAGGTACAGGTTCATCTTCTTAAAACCTTTTATTCGTGCACGTATTTATTGATGTATGAGATTTTGATATTACCTCTACACTGACAAGTGGCGATTGTGCACTTCTGTATGGCTCGCGAACAGTGAGATGTCTACTTATGGATAAACACACAAAATGGGTAAGCTTCGCTGAGTGGAAAAGGACTGTTAAGATTCCGTACAGTGATCCCAAGCAGTTTAAAATTCGATACTGTGATTTTCAAGATTCTAAGAAAATAGTGACAGTAAAATCGGGGACAAAACGCGTTAGGCATCCTAGTGACGACTACGATTTTCGTGGCATGTGAATTTTATCTTACATTGAGAGAAGAATCCGTAGAAGTGTAATCATCTTAACATTAACGCTTGATGGCGGCCCAACCTCATGCGGGAGCATATGCTCAGTTACTCTACAACATCATTGACATGGGTGGTTTTTGTTGTTGATCATCCGGACCCATAGAAGGAAGTCTGAAATATCACACTGTCTGTTACTCTATTTAAGTGACGGCTGAGATCATGAGCTCATCGGAATATTTGTGCCAGATGGCGGAAATGTTACATATGTGCACTAGGAAAACACCGTGCACATTCATTTTTACAAATGTTTCTTTGCGTGATACTGCGGTTTAGTAAGACATCCACAGGTGGTGTTGAAGACGCTCTATTAGCTTTTCGTTTACCTATTGGTAGAGGGTAGCTGAGAATCCTTCCGGATACTGGCGATTCTGAATGTACGAAGCTAGAAAAGCTCGAGAGTCAAGGGGGCTGCTTTTGAAGAAGTGCGGACAGAATCCCGCCATGGCAGAAAATTTAGAAAGATGTGTAAGAATGTTGTGGGTGCGACCGCACGAAGTTTGTCATGTATAGCTGTAAAGGACGATGACTGCAATTATGCTCACCGACTGTGCCAGGAAGAGGGAAAGTTTCCCGATGCATTCAGTGACTCAAAATCCTACCAGGTAAGCAAGTTATAAGATAGCTGTTGCTACCATGTGCAGAGCCCTAAATGTTCAACGCGCCAGTGGTGTTATCTGAAGTCACAATTGATAATGGACAAGAGTTAACTCGTCGAAAGAAATGGCCTTGCGTTCAGGTAAGAGGTGCCTTACGTTCCTCTGTGTGTACGTGTTTTAGTTGGTCTGATATGACATGAAAGCTTGGGTTAATATAGTTTAAGATGACTACTGAAACATATCCTACCAGTATGTTCAGTCTATCTGTTTACTGTACGGTGGTCAGAAATCTAACCGATACGCCGGATTTACGTTGCGGGCTGCAGCGATGTTGCAAAGGTTAAGCTCAGGAATCGAAATTCTGCTTTTTTGGGATTTGAAATGCATACCAGTATTAGTTAACCGCACACACAAATTAGGATGCCAAGCATTTGTTTTCAAGGAACAAAGAAGTTAGCGGTTAGTTGAACTTGTCTTGAAGAACTTAGAACTGTATGTAAATGTGACCTGTACCGACCATTCACGTCTTACTGGCCTCATGTAAATGAATACCACTAACTCAACAGTTTTTTCTTCAGTTCACGTCACAGGAAGAGCGCCCTACGACGAGATCAAAGAAGGAGAATTCAAAAGGAATGTACCACAGATGTATGGTTGGAGGGTAATCCAGACGTTTTGCATCCCTCTCACCAAAATGCATATTTTCGCGTAAACCGTAATAGGTTTTCTCCGTCAGTACCTATGAGGCGGGCTAGAATG